AATTCAGACACGCGACCTCTCCGCTCGCACCCAGAGCGAGGCGACGCAGTGCCCGTGTTCAGCCTTCTACGCGGACCTCTCCATTCCTCGTGCAGCCTCGCTCCAAGCAGAAAAGCTTCCTGCAAGATTTTATATGTCTTCATATATTAGCAACACCAGTGTTTGCATCTACCTTTAAAATCAGAGTAAGATTGCACCTAAGAACAGAAAAAAAGGGAGGGAATACCCCTTCAAATATTACTCGCAAGGATTTCAAAACAGCAGCAGCACCAAATATAAATATATTGCCAGTAGACAAATGCTGACCCCTTCGCCTATTTGTGAACAGGATTAATTTTGCTTTGATGAATGCACTTAAGCTAACGCCTTTAAATCTTTGGGGGATTCTACCAAGGCTCCTGGAGGTACTTAAAAGGAGAAAATAAAATAAAATCATTACAATACTAGTTTCTGCTAAAAGAAATTCTTTGTAGTAGGAAATACAATTGAGATTACAAATACAAAAGAGATTAAATATTTTCCCCTTGTTAATACTTGGATCAATGCGAATTGAGGCAAGAGACCAAGGACACGTAGGAGCTGCTACGAATGCAACGGACGCCTTGGTACGGAGAAGTTTCACAAAAATAAGAAAAAGCAACTGCATTTGGCGAGCCGGCGCGGCCGCCCCGCCGCAGCCCGGCCCTGCCAGCGCCTCACAAAACCGGGCCCTTCCCGAAAGCACGGCGATACTTACGGGTTTCACTGCACTGCCATGGAAGGCGGTGGCCAAAGGGCTCAAAACGCTGCGAAATGCGGGGTGGGAAACAATCTTGCCAAGCTTTACCAATTTTCAGTTATTTCAAAGGTTGAAAAGGAGATTTCAGAGGGGGTGGGAGGGTGCTCAGTCACCAAAATAGGAGCTTTCCTTAGCTGGTTACACAGGTGTTTTCCAAGTTTCAATATACGAATGCAGTAAAACAGCCTTCATGTGAGAACACTGTGCCTGTCACTTTGGATCACCAGCTTCCGTGTCAGGGCGAGTGCAAAACCCTCATCGGTCCAAGCACTTCAGCTCCAAAACTACTGCAGCCCTCTTATCACCCATTCACCGAGACAACCCTAAGAAAAGCAGCAATAAATGTAGGAAACTTCAAAAATAAATATTCAGAGTGGTCTCTGTCAACAGCATTCAGGTCAAAAAGCACGTTTTCCAGGAATCTCAAGGTGACTGATGCCATCTGAGAAGCCGTGCTACAACCTAGACACTTTATGTACGAGAGTCGCGCGCTGGCCTGACAGCTGTTACAAGTCCCTGTGCTAGTCCTCTTCTGCTTTCAACTCTGGATAAAACATTCAGCACAGCAAAATAAGTCAAGCAGAATATCCAAGTGCCCTGAAATTGGTATTTAGGAAAGAAATGCTTATATCTCAGCTTTAAGCATGCATGCATAACAATAAAAAATAAATACTGCTTTCCTTCCTTAGATGATGTTTGAATTCTTCATCTAAATCCCAGGCAAGAAAGACGGGGCTATTTACTTTCTCGAAAGCAGGTTTCCTCTCTGGCATCTTTACAGGTTTTAATACGATTTTGCCATTTTATTTGGGCACAAAAACAACTGTGGGGAGTCGCTGACAGAATAGCCCTAACGGGAACTCTCAAATAACCACCAATGATCAACAGCAACTCTGCTCCGATCTGCCCAGGGAAACTGAAAAAAAAAAAACCAGCAGGACCCAATTTATACAGGGAAAAAAAAAAAAAAAAACAATTGACATTGATTTTTTTTCAAAGATTTTGGCTTCTTCCTCTTTCCTTCGGTTTACGATGGGTAGAACAGCATCTAGTAACTGCCGTGGCCGCGGGCACGGGGTGGAGGAGGAAGCAGGAGGTGACTAAATACTGAGGAACTGTTGCGGGGGAAAATAAAATAAAATCTTATTACAGCTAATCTTAAATCCTGAATTCAAAATTGCCAGTGGCTTTTTGCAGATGCAACTTAGAGTTCCAAAATTACTCTAAACATCAAATTATGCGTAGGTCACCGAATGGGTGGATACCCTATATTCTCTTTAATGCCTACGTTCAATTGCATATATATTGTAACCAACTGTGTCTTTATTTTAATAACAGGCCAAGCTCTGAAAACACATCAAGAAAGGCTATTTTTCTACCTCAGCAAAAACACCGATGATACGCTACATGACCCTCCAGGGTGACTGCTCTGTTTATTCTGTTTACGTGACATAAACCCATTGGAAAAGGAAGAAAAAAAAAAAATCAGCAAAACAAAAAAAGCACGGAAACTTATTTTTAACCATCAGTCATGGAAAAGAAATCAGCGCCCTGCCCTTCTCACTGCTCGAGCAAGATTAAAGATCTCCTCCTCACTAGGTATCAGAAAAGCAAAAAAATCCAAGAATTTACCTTTCCCTGCGAGCACTGGTGAGTTCTAGGAGAATGAGAGGCAGCGGTTCCTGCCTGTTGTGCAGCAGCCCGGGCACAGCCCGCGCGGGCGCCCCGCCGGGACGCG